TCAGCAATTCAAATGAATATGGGTTAGGTTGGTGTTCAAGAGAAGATACATGAAAGTAGTTGCTGATTACTCGTTTTGTTATTCAAATCTGTCCAAGCCCCAGTCTCGTCTTGTGTTTTCCCGAGGGATTTTTCTGCGCGGAAGAATGCCTCCGAGGTATAAAAAATTTATTTGTTGAGAAAGTATCATATCTACAACTGCACAAAATCGACGACAACCTGCGGAAAGTTTTTCGGTTCCTTTTTTTTATTTCGTGTTACACAATGGTAGTTAACATTGAATAATGTGGGATGTCTGAATCTATAAAATCTTGAGCGGTTCGTCATTTTACACATGTCCTTGACACTGTTTTGAAAGGATTCGTGATAACAGCAGTGAAGTAATCAAAGCTTCTATGTTGTAGTGATTTCTGCTTGAGATTCGTGGTGTATGAGCTGTTTCGTCGTGTAGGGCTAGGGAGGTATGAGTCCAGAGAGTGACTGCGACTGTTCATTGTGAGCTGATGAGCTCTATCATCCGCTTTTTTGGATAAACGTTTGTGCCAAAGTTACAAGAGTCACCATTAGTTCAGCCTATATTTTTGAGCTCCTTTTTCCTTCTTGGAGTTTTTTCAATGACAAAAAAATTGTGTACTGCTATCGAATTTGGCAGCGCCCAGGTTGGTATACATACCCTTCATCATAGGATTGCAGCACAGTTAGACTCAGCAAGTGAGCCTAGCCAAGAACTGGCGTAATTCCGGATTTAGACACACCTAAGAATACCTTGGTCGAGTGATTGAAGGTAATCAAGCAACGATACTCGTAATCAACAACCCTCTTGAGCATTCACTTCTTTTAAGTAATGGCGCTTTGACAAAAAAGGATTGTAACATCGCATGAGCAAAACTAGATGGTATGGCGTTCTGTTTTTAAGGTGATTGCCCCTTTTGAAAATAGTCCGCCAGAATCACAAGAAGCTTAAATACATTGGAAATTAGAATCCACTCATCATGACAAAAATTTTAACCAAACAGTTTGCAATGAAGACAGAAAGTGTCTTTTCTCAGGTATAAGGTACATCTACTATATTTACATGTCTAGCTTAATAGTTGGGGTTTTGATTGACCGACTCGTGATTTGCTGGTTGAGAAATCACTAAGGAATTCTGTAAAGTTCGATTTTCTAACAGAACTAAACAGTACCTTTTTTAGTACCATCGGAGACAACGAGCCATTCATCGCCTTGTTGAGCAATTATCTACTGGAAAGGTAATTTTTGACCAATAGCCCTGTGAAGTCTAAAATATCCATAGGAATTATTTTTTAGTTTTTTGTATTGTTATGTTAGATAAAGACGTGACGATTTTTCAGGTGGTTATTGGATTTGACATCCTCAACAAGTACCTGATTCCTACCATTTTGCCATATCTTGCTAACACGGAGAGCAAACTTTCTGGTGATTTCTTTCAGTAATCTTCCAGTTTACAGTTGAAAACTGCTTTAGAAGGTTAACTCATTCCTGAATTTAAGAACTAGTTTGTATATTTGTAGCGTTATCGGATGAGGGTCTTAGCCTCCTGAACTACACCATGGGAATCGCAACTTGGTCGAAGTATGTGGCATGTTTGGATTCGTGGTTGAAGCACCTGGACAAATCTGAGGAGAATCAGAAAGCGACCATTAGGTGAGCAGGTTGAGAGGAAGTATTAGGATATTTCAGTTAAGTATGGTCTTTTTCATTTGCTGTTTCTTTTTTATCTTTTCAATTGATTTTGAAGAGTGATAGTTGCGGTTGTGGAAGCATTCCATTATGACGTTGCTGATGTTGGAGAAGTTGTTAATGAAGAGGGCACGAATGGAACCCGAGTAGTTATACGAGACAAGCTAAATCGAGAGATACTGCCAAAGCTCACCAAGTGCATTAATGGGAAGGTTGGTGGTTTTTTCATTCTGTCGGAAGATTGACCATATTGACCACAGAAACGACCTAACTATTCTGGGTTGGTTGTAATTAATGGGCCATTGTTTTCGGAAGGTTAAATAGTTTAAGGAAGAGTATGACTTTTTGAACATCGCTGGGGAAACTGAAGTTTCTACCCTTCTGGAATCAAGAAAGCGCAAGGGTCCATATCAGTATGGAGAGCTTAGCCTGTGCTGTGCTGGTAGCTGGGAGTTGATGTTGAATAACCCATCTCTTGGGCGCGAAATACATGATCATCCCGGCCTGGTCCAGTATCTGGGTCCACTTAAAGGCCCATAGATGTGAGAATAATTGCTGTGTCTACTGCCTCAGTTCTGCCGTTGATAGAATAACATGTGTAGCTGCTCATCATGCAGTTTTTTTCCTCTCATATATCCAACATGCAAAATCATCAAAAAGAAACGATGATGTTTTGTGTAGTAGAAGCAAGAACTGTGACTGTTTTTCTATGCGTCTGCGTACTCCTTTCTGTCAATTTTACGGATTTGACGGCTAGGCATTTGAGAGCTTCGGTAGATTCATGAAGAAGTTACCTTCATTTTCAACTTTCCAGTCTGCCGAACTAAGTGTCCATCGGAAGGCTCGTACAGCTGCTACTAAACACTATAGCGAGGATGACGATATCAAAAGAGCGCCAGTCGCTTTAGCTACCGTGAAGCTGTTGCAGAAAGTCCCCGACAGCATTCGTTCCCAATATCTCCACGGGTAACAGTGTCATGCGCAGTTCGAGATCATGATTACTTCAATTACGTTTTTCAACATTCGGAATTCCATCATTTCAGAGTGATTTTGAAACTGTGCTCTTTGATGATTTCACGATCGATGAATGTTCGCGAAACGGCTCGAAAAGTTGGGGTACAAGTCTGTGAGTGCCTTGGGCCACGCTATCTCCCTGTAATTATAAAGGAGATGAAGCTCATAATGAAGAAAGGGTTCCAGGTTGGAGGGATTAAATCTTCTTATTACAAAGTTACCTTTAGGAAAGAACCATACCGAATTTCAGGTCCACGTAATGATCTATACGGTCCATACTTTTATAGCTGCAATGCGTGATGTTTTGAAAACAGGAGACTTGGATGCCTGCCTGGATGATATCATAGATGTGAGTATCCTTTCATGCAATTTTTTTTGCTAGTAAACTTTCTTTCCTTGTGGTTCCGCAGCGGCTACCGTATCCTTCCACTGGGAATTCAAACCTTTCCCTTCGTGGCGTGCGACTGCGCGCGATCGCGTGCGGCAACCGCCGCGCGATTTTCGGGGAGAAAATACCACACCCGAAATACTCCGCTGTGCTGTCGGAACTCTACCCACATTGACAAAATAAATCTCGTGGCTCTAGGGTGGGCGGGCCTTCTTTGAAATATGCTGTAGCGCTCGCAAATGAAAACTTATAATTCACTTCCGCAACAGCTTAGCAAGGATAAAATCAGGGCGTACAGTCTATTGGAGATTGATCAAAAGGTATTCTCTCAGGCTATTGTGCAGAATTCTAATATCTTCAGATTGTTGTGCAAGAGCAATTCGAAGCTGTTTCCGAAGAGAAAGAAATTGGACAGATCAAGGCCGAAGTTAGTGAAGCTAAAAAGAATCCGACGCCTGGAACGATGCTCTTACTCGGTCGCTACGTCTCTCCTTCAGTTGTCGGCACCTTGCTGAATCGTTTCGTGTTAGTGTTCCTTTTCAGTCTGTCAAATATTTCATCATTGTAGTTATTTCGCGATTATGAATTATTTCGATTATTACGCTTTCTTTTTTTCAACCGAATTAATGCTTTTTAGTGCCATCGTGGAATCCCTAACTTCGGCAAAGATGATCTCTCGCGCAAGAAATCTCTTGTCTATGTTTGCTAATGGTCTCAAAGATAATCAAGGTTCGAATAATTTAATCCTTCCTTCCTAAGTTCGCTTCATAAGTTTGATCGGAACTTTATTTTGTTACATTTATTGCCACCTTTTAGGATTCTCTCCATCATCACAACTTATTTTCATTCACCAAGTAATAGTGTCGAATATCGAAAAAATGAGGGTTACACCAGACAGCCAACAACCATCGGACGAATTCTTGGAGAAACCGACGTGTTGCCTGCTTTTGCCACCGGTTAGTGTTGTCATGAATGTACGTCGTTGTCGTCGAGGACTGTCGATTTGGGCAGTAAAAATCTCTTTGATCTCTTTGTGTAGAATATGGGTTGAGGATAAGTAGGAGGCGATATCTAGTGATTTGTAGCAGCAGGTGCACCACATTTTACTAGTCCTTAACAGATTATGGGGGTTTGAAGATGTACTCGGCTCGCAAGGTGGTCTGTGTTCGCTCAGTGGTGAGGAATACAGGCAGGGGCTAGTAGCTAATCAAGGTTTTTTCTTTCCCAAATTAGCGCTTCTGGTTCAAAGAGTAGAGATGAGGTCATATACTGGTTGAAACTTGAGTCAAAAACAGACTGAATGTGGCATTGTGTCAAAAAAAGCCCAAAGGGAGCAGTGAAAGTTTGAAATCCATTGAAAGTGCCAACGACCGTCAATTACGCCCGCAGGTGGACGTGTTGTACTGTCTTTTGGAACAGGTGCCGCTGATTATTATGAGTTGTGTTGTGTTGAAGGGCCAGACAGAGTACTCAGACGCCTATGCACTTGTTGACTAGCTCATCAGCTAGGGTGATATAGGGAAGACTAGAGCTCCCATATTTCTCTTGCACTATTTTTGTTCCTTTGTGATTGGCGTGTTATTAATCATTGAAGACTTCGTTACCTAATTGGCTTGATGTTACCTCTAAAAGTGTAACTATTAGGTTGGAAGGAAAGTCCTGCGACAAAATGGTCTTTTTCAAATCATTTCTGAAATTTTCCAGGCCAATCAATTTTCAAAATATATTTACCAAAGAAGTCAACAACCTTCTATTATCCTTTGAGTAAATCACTGAGCCTTTTATCCAGGAGTGGGAAAGCTGTGACTCAAAAAATTAATTGACTGCCGTTTCCAGATCACATTAAATTACGATTTTTTTCACAGCGGTATGCTCAAGAAGTCGGAGCACATGGTAGGTAGAAGGAGCAACACTTAGGGAGTACGATTGATGAACAACCTGGAACCAGTTGGAAACGTAGAACTTTTGACGTGTGTTTAGAGCGAAATTTCGACGTGCTCTATCCCTCTGTAGGGACCTGATTTAAGGTTTTGATCGTCCTTCTCTAACCCCCTTGGTTAAATAAAGGGGATCATAGGGGCAAGCGAAAGCTCTGTCCATCTAGTTTGCATTTGGCAACTCATAGTGGATGGATTCATTAAATTAAAAAATGATGCTTGCGGTACTCCGAAGACTAGTATCTCCTGCAGTGAAGCGATCCAACCGATTGATGACCGTTCATCGGTGAGCAGTGCCAGCACTGAATAGTTTGCCGATAGTTTGAGCCGCTACAACCGCGTTTTTCCCTTGACGTGCTCAGTAGAAGGTGATGGTACGAATCGGGTGTTGTCCACTTATTGACCGTAATGCTGGCAAAGCCACGCGCGTGCCCTCATTTACTCATGGTTGATTACGTGAGGAATTTCCTACAAGTTTATCACTCTTGCTACCGTGTTCACACTGTTGATATAAAATGTTGACGCTTCAAATTTTTTCCGCAGGATTTTCTTTCCAACCTACTGCCTGAAAGTAAAATATTCTGCATTGGTAAGGCCCATCCCTTGTGGAACCTACTTTTCTTTTCGAGTTGGTGCATTGACCTTTTCCCTCTAAGCAATGCACCTCAATGTAACATTCGCTTTCCATTCTCCGGAATAGTTCTAAAGTCATCACAAATTTGGTAGCGACACCATCCATCGACTTTCTCAAATATGCCTTCAAATGCCTTCTATGCATTTTATACCATAGAAGATTTTATCCACTTTATTACATTTCAGGAACCAAAACGGATTGGTGTTCTAGTGAAACCGGTCCTCAAAAGTCGCTCACATATTTTCCTCGAGTTCGCTCTCCAGCTGCTCGGAGCTCTAATCACAGGTCAGCCACTGGTTCTTAGTGAAATTCATTCCACCTGACGTTTGTAATATTACTACTTCAGGCAAGCATTTCGATCGAAATGAACCGGACCATGTACGTCGCTTGGATCCATTTGTTCCTTTGGTGACGCAGAGCCTTGAATTCAAATATGAAAAGGCGAGTTGATTATTCTACTGATGCTGGGTCGATGAATGTAAAATTAGTGTTTTAGGTGATTTCCAATGCTCTTCGATGCTTGATCGGTATGTTACACATGACATTGCCATCGATAGAAAAGTCGTTAAACACCATTTCTGAACGGTACGTTTTTTTTTGCTTTATCGATAAAAAAATGAGATCCACTCTAATTCTGTTTATACTTCATCTTCTTTTGAATAGAGTGCTCATATTTACGACTACTTCTTGGCTGAAATGGCACATTTTTGAAATTACTAAAGTTTATGATGCACCAAAAATCGAATAAGGGTCTTGCGAGGCGATATAGTTCTGAAGTAATGAAATGCGTAAAGCAATGAGGCTGAACGCAATCCAATTGATCCTCCATGATCAAGTCAACTAGCCTGTCTGTAATTCAGTGTAGGAATTTTCTTGTTGTAGTGTTTTGCCGTTGTTCATCACAAGGGCATGCATCTACAGGTTGAGAAGTACGGTAGCGCATGCAAATTCCATAAATATTTTATTCGAACCAAATTAGGTGAGGTGGCGTAGTGGCAAGTGGCGTACAATCGACGTATAGCGTGGTTCGATTTCCGGCTCGATGCCCGCCTAGGTCAACCAAGCGATCCATCCCTACGGGGTTGATCAAGTGGTACTAGGCTCATTTGGGAGGATAACAGCAATGTTTTGTATGTCAGCTTATCACACTAACCATTCCATAGACGAATAAGCATCAAGAACGTCAATATGATTATGAGCGAAAACGAACGTGTGGGTGCATTCCAAAAAAGGGATTGAATAATGCTCAAGAAACCTATCCTTAATCTTTATCCTTATTTACTTTTCTACTTATGTTTCAAATTTCTTAGTTTTTCGATTTCAGGCTATTTTTGTTGCTGTCAGAGTATTCGATTTTGGGTAGTGCAGCTAACAAGGAATCTGTCATCAATCTAAATCAGCTTCTATGCAAGGTATGCTTTTTCGCCTTTCGAACGTTTTCATTCGGAACAAACCTTTCGATTCTCCTTTTTCCACTCCAACCTGCAATTTCAGGCATTTACACAACTGATTATCGCTTCGAATGCTTCATTTCTTACTAACAAACATATTTCACTCCTGCTAAGCTACGTGGAAATAGACATATTGGACTCGAGTCGCCAGGCCACAGCCTTCGCTTTAATAAAGGCGTTTGTGCGAAAGAAGGTCCAACACCCACAGGTGCTTTTCGATTCACATAAAATTCGCTTTTTTCATTTTCAAAGTTTGATTTATCTATTCAATATTTCAAATGTACATGTTTTAGATACTGGATGTTATGAAAAAGCTCAGAGAACTTTCGATCACGTCGCCATTTCCCCATATTCGAACCCAGTGCAGAGAGGTTAGTGTTGCTTGTTGCGTAGGTTGATGTTGAACTACTTTGTCCCTTTCGCCCTTCGATTTTTTTTTCTTGGGAAAGTATATTTGTCTGAGCCTACAAGTAAGTTAGTTGAAAATCAGGTGCTATGCGATTTCATTGGAAATCATCCGAGTTCTGACGATCCGCAGACCCATATTGAATGGTTTATCGCTCAACTCGACTACGAGCTTGAAGATGGTCGCTTGAGTGCAGTGGATATGCTGAATAGCTTATTTTCCAAGCTTGAACCAGTAAGGGACTTGTCGATATACATTTACTTTTTATTAGCTAGTGCCAGGAATTTAACGTCCGAGTAAACGCAAATTGGCATTAGTGTGTGCACAAACTATAAATAAATAAATATTCATATGCAAGATCACAGATTGGGAACTAAACAGTGCTGTAAACAATGAGAAAAATGAATAGTTTATGAATATATTCAGTTTTATTTGTTTCAAGGATTTGTTTCGATGTGGTCACACAGCTCTGAATAGGTGCTCTCTTAGTGCCCAATTTGGGATACTCTTGGATGGTGTAGATTTTAAATTGAAGGGAATCCGATTTTATGACTAAATCTAAATAAAAAATTGTCTAAAACCATTATCATCTTCGTCCTCTCCTTTCTTTAATTTGATAAATGAGTTTCTATGAATGTCTCTCACGAAAAAAAAATCTCCACAATCTTTCGTAGAACGGGTGTAGTTCATGTAGAAGCTTTTGGTTCGTTTTGGCAAGAAAGTATTTGCAAAGATTCCACGAAATTCCTTTTACCCTCTTTCATAAAAAAACAAACAAAACAAACAAACA